ACATCTTTGGTTTGACTGGTAGATCTGGTAGTTTTAATACGTATTATTTCGTTTACGTGCCTATGTGGTGGCTAACTGGCTATAAGAAAGCCATCAAAATCTTTTATGACAATTATTGTTTAAAACCCTCAAATTTCAAAATTATTATTAAATAATATTTAATTGATTTGCATTCGATCCCTTCATAATTTAAGCGACAAGTCGATAATTGTCAGTTTAGAACTCTTAATTGATTTGCATGTTTCAATAATACCTAGTGTATTTTCTTCAAATGAAATTTTTTGTTAGCTTTAGGGCCTGTTCTCTTACGTTGAAATTCAGTTCAGTTTAGTTCAGCTCAGTTCAGTTCAGTTCAGCTCCTAATTTCCTTCTCTTATAAAATATTCATTTCAGTTCAGTTCAGTTCAGTTCAGTTCAGTTCAGCTCCTAATTTCCTTCTCTTATAAAATATTCATTTCAATTCAGTTCAGTTCAGTTCAGTTCAGCTCAGCTCAGCTCAGCTCAGCTCAGCTCAGCTCAGTTCAGTTCAGCTCAGTTCAGTCAATGAGAACAGACCCTTAATTAGTCATACAAGTTTTAAAATGTGAAATGTTCATTGCAGCTAAAAACTTAATAATGTAAGTACTTCACTTAGTTATATATTTCCTCTTAAATTCTCTCCATAATTAATTAATACCAATTTATTTTTTTCCTATCATTGATTTCCCTTGATTTTTGGATTTTTAAGTTTTTTATAGCTCTTGATAACATTTGCTCAAATATCACTTTTTAATATGAATCTCATTCAAATTCCATAATGCTTTATACCTCTTGATAACATCTGCTCAAATATCTCTTTTTAATATGAATCTCATTCAAATTCCATATTGTTGTTTATGTGTCATCAACCAGTTTAGATTTTAAAACTAATAAACCTTAACAATAGTTGCACTTAAATGACAACAAGATTGTAAATAAGAAGAGTAACCACGTAGGAGTAAAAATAGACACAGTTTTTTTTCTTTTTAAATAATAATAACATATGAAGTATAAAAGCATTAGCATATTTTTAATATATATATATAAAAAAAAAACATTGTTAAAAAAACAAAAAAAAAACAAAACAAAAAAAAACTTTATATTAATTGATGATAGGTTTAATAAAAAAAAAACATTAAATATATTAATGAGAGTAAACATATTAATAAGGATAAAAAAGTAAATACACATTTTTGTACATATTTTTGAGGGTATATTTGGTAGAACACTATTGCTAAGAGTTATCTTCCACTTTTTATAAGGTAGGGATTTTATCTAGTATTAAATCAATTAAACTTATTTTAAAGCATGAGTTTTTTTTGTTTTTGTGCCTCATCATCTTGCTCATAGTTTAATGTTACAACTAACCAACTGACCAAGTGAGCTTTCTTTAAAGGTAATGATAATATGCATGTAGTCACGAAGGCTATAAATAAACATTTAATATCATACATGACTAAATCAACCATCAATTAGTGCAATTCATGTTCAGTTTAATTTCAGAATTTTTCTGCATGGATTCAAGGGTTATTCAAGTTACTCCTGAATGAGTAATCCCTCGAGTAACACATGACCAAACCCCTCAAGTAACCTCTGATCGAACAATTCGAGTAACCCCTGATCGAAACCCTCAAGTAACCCTTGACCAAGTAACTCGAATAACCCGGCCCCTGACCGAATATTTTGAGTAACCCTAGACCGAGTAAACCTTCAAGTAACTCGGGTAGTTAAACTACCATTGTCCATTGGTGTCCAACATGTAACAAAGTGCTTAGGTTATCATACAAAGTTATATGGTGTAAGTTTGGATAAAATTGATCATGACTTTTACAGCCAATTCCTTTTATGTAATAACTTACAAATTTGTGCTTCATATTATCATTGAAGTACCTCATATTTAAATTGACAATGTTGACATGTTATTAGCACTTAAAGTCCAAGCTTTACAATAATAAGTTCATTTGAAATTTGATTTAATTTCATGTAAGGGCTTGTTCACTTCAAATTAATTTCAGTTAACTCAGCTCACTTCAGTAAATATGAACAAGCTCTAAGTCACCTTTTAATCCCTATTTTTATGTCCGTCAAATCACTACTCAAACATTAAATCTGTTTATTTTTACACTTAGCATGAACCTAGACAATCAACTCATATCGGATTACTCGATCCGAGTTACAAGAGCACCATTGCCACATCATTATATACTCACTCGTTCAACAAGCTATCTACATTCACGTGAGAAGATCCATCTCATAATTCTCATCACGTACATAAGATTTAACTATACTTATTTTGATTCCTTCTTCCTAGCTTTTCCGTATTTTTTAACTATTTATGATCTTATACATCAAAAATATCCATTATGTCGTATAGTTCCTTTTTTAGTTGAAAAAGGGAATAAATTTATCCCCAAACTATGTATCCCCATGGTTCTTTGTCCCCCATTTTAATTTTTTAAAATTTATTTTCTTTTTATGTCTCCTCTTTAATCTTTATACACCCTACTTTACCAAACTCTCTCCCTATTCCTTTTATGATTTTTTTTTTAATTAAATTAAATTAAAGATTTTTTTTATTAAAATATACTCCATCCGTCCCATAAAATAGTTCCTACTCCTATTACTTAAATTAAATTAAAGATTTTCCGCATTTTTTATTTTGAAGAACTAAAATACTGTTCTTTTTTCTAGCTTTGAATAATATATAAAGATTATTATACCTTTATTTTTTTTAACTTTATTTATTGTACTCCGTACTTCCTAATTTATCCTTGGATTTCTATTTTCTCTCTTTAACTTTTGTCTATGATTGTACATTTTACATTTATTATTGTACTTTATTATCTTTCTCCTCCTACTTCTTTAATACATGTGAAAAAACACAAACAAAAACTATATTATGGGACGGAGGGAGTAATAACTTTTTCTATAGAGTATTAAATAAAAAAAAGGAGAAACACAAACAAGTAAACTAAAATCCCTAGATTTTGTAAGAGGACCCACGTTGTCACAATCCCTTGACTATATCCTGTCTTATCAATAGAATTTAATTAGCACTACATTTAGGTTAGGTAATTATGATTATAATAAACTAATTAATAAAGTCATCTCTTTAGTAGCAAGTGGATGAGGAAAATTGTTGCAAAAAAATAATGTTACCTTATTTTGAGGATAATTGATTAGGACCACGAGTAATTTTTTTCTAATTCCACGTCACTATGATAATCCAAAGTTTCTATCACCCAATAAACATAATTATTAGATCAATCTTTAATTAAATTATTGTTTAATCCTAGTTAGTTTAATTAATTAAATTTCTTAAGAGCATATGCATATGTCCAAGAGCATGCAAAGACTTTAAGTATGCTTTTGTTTTCATCAAGGTTGATTAGCTTGATATAATTAAAGATACATAATTATAATGATAGTGGATGTTTTTAGAACCGGATACCATGAAATTGATTGGCATCCAATATTAATTTAAACACATCAAATTATTATCTGATTAATAGATTATTAATAAGTCAATGAAATCATAGTATCATGCTAAAGTAAGATTATTAGTTGAAGACCACTTCAAGTATTGGATATTGCTAAAATAGAATGGAAGGGATAGAACTAGAAGAGTTAAATTAAAACCCACAAATAATAAAGGTTGAGTGAATTTCATCATCCAAAGTGAGTTTAAGATTCATCACAGCTCTTAGAGGTATAAAAGTGTTTTAAATTGCTCAAAAATCCTACCCACTCTTTCATAAGAAGGTTAGATTTGCTCTAAAATGATAGCCAACAATTAGGTGTAGACATATACATTCTGGTACAAACTCGATCCGAACAATAAATGTTTACCAACCTTGACGCTATTTTTAAAAATGAAAAGAAAAGCATACATAATACTCATGCTTCTTAATTTTCTTTTTTTTTTTTTTTTTTTTTTTTTTTTTTTTTTTGAATCAAAGCTTCTTAATTTTCTTTTGATATCTCCATTTAGAGGTTAGGAAAATATATCAAGGAACAATAGGAGATAATTAACAAAAAATAAAACAAAATAAAAAATAGCGTGATGAATGAGATTTGTGAAGCATAAAAGTGGTATACCAATCTAGAAATATGAAGTTATTTAAATAAAAAAATAAAGTGGATTGGTGAATAACTGGATATCATACGGGTATGTTTATGAGACTCATTAGATAGGACTAGTGAGGGCAATAGAATAAAAATTAAATATCATGTACCTCAAATTAAATATTTCAAAAGACAATTCAATTTTTTTTTTTTTTTTTTTTTTTTTTCTGTTTTCTCAATCTAATTATGTAGCAAGATATGTGAAAGTTGGCCGTAAACTAACATTGTGGTCAATAGCTGAATCGCTCTTAGAATAAAAGTATAATAAGAGGAATTTTGCTTAAGATAAGATCAAATGCCAAAATTTGTGGGGCTAATTAGTTATTATGATTGTATTAACTAAATGGCCTACATTGAGTAGCTTATTGGCTTTAAGCCTTTAAGGCAACATTTTGCATAAGTCTAACAAAATGGTCAAGATAAGATCAAAACAATCTTCGTTTGACTTCATAATTAAGTGAAGAGTGTAACCTAAGTGCATCTCTTATTGATTGCGATTGGGGAAATTTGACTCTTGAAAATATCGGAGTAATGATAATCGTTCCAAATTTTATATAATCAATCAAATTAAAACGCACAATGTAAGTCCGATATTAAATCATAAACCATATCATTACTCCATACTGTAATTCATATAAAGTAGAGTATTTATTATTTACTGGTAAGGATATCAAGTTATTGCATCAGTTACTAAATCAAATAGTACAACATTAAATTTGAAGTTATTTATAAAGAATCAATGTCTTTTTCAAAGTTCTTTATCAGTTTAATCTTTAATACTCGTATCAAAATGTGGCCAAGTAACAAATTTAATTAATCTTGGATAACATTGAAAAGAATAACAAGAAAAGCGCTAATAACATAAATTTTAACAATTCACATTGATTGAAACCAAGATAAAACGCTCTAATTACATAATACTACGGAGTACAGTAATATTTTTCATAATCATCAGAAAATCAATAATCTCGAAATTAGACCCATAACCATAATTAACATCATAATATAGGCCGTAGAACAATAACAATGAACAGAAGTGCATTCAAAATACAAATTCCGACTACCCTCCAAAAAAAATTTAAAATTAAAAAAAGAAAAATAAAAGTAGATAAACATCTTAATACTTCCAAATCATCCAATCACTAATAGATCTTCGCCATCTGTACATTCATCTTTTTCCCTTTTTTTTTTTTGAAATTTCCATTTTTACCCCGTCAACCAAATGCCTCCAAAAAAGCATCTCTCAAAATAGGAGACATTTTAGTAATTTCACCTCTTAATTTTTTTTTTCCTCAAATATTTTTTTTTCCAAACAATATTTACACTAGAAAAAGTTGAAATTCGTCTTCATCATCATCCTATTCACAATCATGAATTACCGAAAATACCCTCACTTGATTAGATCAGAAACCCACCCAAAATCAGGCCCAGAACTCACTGAGTTAACTCGGTCACAATCCAGCGAGTTCTCCTTACTCAGCTTCGCATACATCCTTGCCCTCAAATCTTTCCCTGATTCAACTCTTTCCATTGGAACTTCCTCCTCAAAACCCACTTCAAACGGGTCAAATAGCCCAAGCCCAGATCTATTCGGAGTTGTCGGCCCACTTGACCCACCACAAAGCCCACTTCCCATAAACCCTCTTGGACTTCTCGGCGAAGAACACCCCATCTGAACCCCCCAAACATTCCTTGGGCCTGCGTTTGGGTTTGGGCTCGGGTTCGGACTCGGGTTTGGGTTCAAGCCCATCCCAAGCTTACCCAACTGTAACCCTCTCATAGCACTAGCAAGCTCACTCACTGACGGCGACAACGGCGGCGAGTCGGGAAACGAGTCAAACACCGATGTCGGCGAATACCCGACAAAACCCTTACACGTGTCACCACCTCCGAGTCGGCGGGGTGACTCGGAGAGCGAAGGAAGGACACGCAACTGCTCAGGCGAGTGAGCGAAGAAGCAAACACGGCGTTTACAGTGAGGCCCATCTTTGCACGGCTGAGTCCTGTACCGTGCGGGGTGAAGCCAGCACTCGAACACCCCGTGCGCGTACTCACACGAGTCACCTTTCCGGCAACTCCCACGGCGGAACTCCGGGCACGCCGTGCCGGAGTAATGGTACTTCCGTGGGTCCCTCCGACGAGCCTTCTCACCCGGGTGAGCGTACGGACACTCAGTCCAGTCATGTGACCTGCCACGTACGCACTTCCGTACCTTAAACTCGTACATTCGGAAGTTGTCGAATGTAAACGAGTCAAAGGGGAGATCACTCGACTCAGTGTCCGAGTCATCAAACTCAGATGACGGTAAATACCTCTTCAAAGCAGCAAAGTAATCGTTTGTTTGAGGGGAGAAAATGGGGGTCGTTGGATCTTCATAAGGTGGGTCCCATTGAGGAATATCAACCGTCGGATGTTGGCGATGGATCATCATCATTTCAAACCCAGTATTTGATTTGGTTAGTGTGTTTCTCTCTCTAAAAAAAATGAAATCTTGTGAGTTTTTCTCTCTCTAAAGACACAGACAGACAAATGAAGGTGGGTTAGTGGTGAAAATATAATATGGGAAGGAAAGAGATATCCAAAACAACTGCTATAAGTAGACGTGGGAAATGGAATTAACCGTGGTTAGGTTAGGTTAGGTTAGGTTATATTTTAACTAGGGTTAGTTTAATTATGGAGAAAATCTATTGGGTTCTACTAGGGTGAATAGGAATGTTAAATAAAATAAGGTTTAAAAAAAAAAAGATGGGTTGTCTGTCACGCTAAATTATGTCACCAACAGCCGACCTTTCATTTTCTGTGTCCTTAAGGTTGTGTTTGGTTGATGGTAACGGGTTATGGGTTTGGGTATGGGTTATGGGTTGGTGGGTGGGTGGGGTGACAAAAAGGGATGTTTTTGGGTTCTTTATTTCTCACCATTCGTACAACTCATTATGATGTGGACGGAGAGAGATTAAGGTATTTTTATGACGGAAAAAATCTTTTGATATTGTAATTGATCGATGGAATCGAGTCAAGTTCTAAACATAGTAAAACATAGCTAGTATAAGCAAAGTAAATCGTATGAGATAAGTGTGTATGACTATAAAGGATCACGTGGAATAAATCGAAAATGACTTTAAATTGATACGAGAAAGCAAATAAGAAAAGAATGGTATTCTTGGGTATTATGAGTATAATATCTTTTTCCATTTTTAGATGTCTAATTTTGTAGAAAGAATCAATATTCATATAGATATATTGGTAGTGATATAAGTGATCGGATTGATAGATAGATTTGTTGCACGTACCTCATTTTTATGCATTTTTTCAAAGTTTGTAATTATTTTTATTTCTATTGTTTCAACAAGTTATACTCGTAGGTGATTAATCTGTATCGGACAAACACTAGCTCAAGTCGTTTAGGTAGTACAATTGAAGTATTTTTCCAAAAAAAAACCAAATACCGTAGATTTAAATCCATTCGATATTATATTTGGTATAAAAAAATTTCTATATTGATTGGACATTTTTTGATTGGACATATAATTTGTGATAATAATTTTCTACGCATCAACGTCATTATTATTATGATTATTCCTTGCCATTTTTTGAAATATTTAACTAGTACGAATACAATTTTGTATAAAAAAAAAATTCCAAAAAAAAATCAAAACATCATCTATGTTTTGAAAAGTATTATTATGCTCTAAAATACTCCTAATAGTAATCCATCCAAAAGGAAAATGATAGTGGGGAAATTTTCAATTTTTAATGGGAAAAATATATATACTCATAAATTTTATTTACCTTATCTTAAAAAACGTAGCATGCCAAACAAAACGCAAGTTTTAAAGGGATATGGATATTTTAGGTCAAAAAAAAAAAGTGGGACCCAAAAATGGTACCATAAACACGGTGGTAAAAGGCCATGTAACCACGTGGGGTCCACCCCGTACAAAGCGCATTAATATCGAATCAACGAGAATTTTGAAAACCCCATAAACAGCCCATCTGAATGACGTTCACCTAACTCAATAGCTAACCGCCCGTCACGCTTCAGTTTCCCCTCCGCCAATAGATGATCCAAATACATGCCACTTCACTGGTTCCTTGGAGAAAAATTTAAGTAATTTACCATTTTCTAACATCAAAATTACTCGATATTACTCCTTCTGTTTCGTAATATTTGTATTGATTAGGATTTTTTACCTATACTTTATGTTAATCGTTACAAATAATGTGTGAAAGAGGTAATATTTATTTTTAATATTGATGGAAATAATAAAATCAATAATAAATTAATAATAGTAATATAGGTCATGTTCTAATCAGATTAGTTTCGGTTCAGTTCAGTTCAACTTTTAATTTCCTTCTCTCATAAAATATTCATTTCAGCTAAGTTTAGTTCAGTTCAGTTCAACTCAGTTCAGTTAATGAGAGCAGACTCATAGTTTTAATAATAATTAATAACTGATAAATATTAAGCTAAACAAATGTGTAATACATAAAGAATAATTTGTTCTAGTTCCTTAAAGTCTATGAATGGAAAATAATAGGTACCAATTTGTTCTAGTTCTAGTTCTAGTTCCTTAAAGTGTATGAATGGAAAATAATAGGTACCAATTTGTTCTAGTTCTAGTTCTTTAAAGTGTATGAATGGAAACTAATAAGTACCAATACATAATTAGAATTAGGGCCTTCACTTCAGCCTAATTTCATTTCAATTTAGTTCAATTTAATTCCGTTCAACTCCAATCAGTTCAATTCAACTCATTTCATTAAATATGACCAAATCCTTACATAATTATGATATGGATAGAAATTGATTGTAAGTCTTGACCATTGAGCACTAGCAATACTAATAACCTTCAAAGTTCAAACTATACTAGCTAAGCCTAGATCAATATTTGAGCATCACCCAAAAAGACAAGAAATATGCTTGTTTATGAAAAGTGACTGATTGAGTTTAGTGTCCTAGCTAATAAATTAAGAGTGGTTTGTAAAAGACAAGATCACACATATTAATCAAGTACATACTGGATGAATGGACGAGTGATGTACTGTTGTGGCCTTATATATTGCTCCCGTCTCTATTTATTCTTCATAATACTAATTGAAAAATCGTGAGAAAAAAAAACGAAGTTCCAAAGATAAATTGTGACAAGATAATGACATATTTTGTTTACCCTATTTTTCACTTATTTTAGATATAATATAATATTTGTCAAGCCACTGGTTAAGGGGCCTCTATTGGATGTTCATTCCCAAAGAGGATTTATATTGTACCTTCTGGTGTGCTCTAATTCTAAGGACACTCACAAGTGAGGGGGAGTGTTGGAACCCAATGTGTATCACTTGTGAGTGTCCCACATTGGAGAAAGAGGAGAGGTGGTTTCACTTTATAACGTAGAGGAGTAACTCCTACTATTGCCAATTGGTTTTAGTATGGAAGCTCCAAAGCCTTGTTTGTGGACCAAACTCTCCTCCTCCTTATTCAGGTTGCCCAGACCCATTTCATATTGTTTTGAAATTTATCATATAATTATATAAGATATCTAAATAAATATTTTAGAGTTATAAATGTCCACATACACTATTTTTAAGAGTTCAAATTAAAAAAAAATAAAAGCAATTTATTAATTAGAGCTATTATGTAAATAAATATTTTATAGACATGACCGTCTCAACATTATTCATAAAAGGGGTAAATATGTAAATAAAATATTTTTAGAGGTATAATAGTCTCTAATAATATTTGTTTCCTCTTTTCTCCTTGGGAGGGTGTTTCCTAATTTTTGCTAGGGTTATCCATCCCCATCTCCCTCGTGATTATTTGTAGGAGCTATCACTAGTTCCTTGGTTAGTGGTAAGTCCCAAAAATCCCTTTTTAATCGCTTATTATAATAGACCTCATCATTATGATGGTCTTGATCGGTGTATAAATGATTTCTCTTTAGCCATCGGAGTTTCTAATTTGCTGGTAGTGGTTTGTACGACGTTGAACCAGTTGTTAGATCAACGACTACAATTAGTCGAATAAGGTTTTAGTCAATTCAAAAACTACCAAATATCGCAAGGTCCCCTTGTAGAAGAAGGCTGCAGAGGACAACAATTCAAGTGATGAGGGTATTCATCAATGTCAATACTCACTCACGATCGTAGTTCTACAGAATTAGAATTGTTATTTGATTCAATTTTCTCTCGTCAAAAAAATAATAATAATAAAAAAATAATAAAAAATCATTATATTAATTGTTTCTGATCTATTTTATAGATACAGTATGACTTATTATTAATGAATTGATCTTCCCTTTAAAAAAAATTTGAGCTATTGAATAAGACAAGTTAAGCTAAAAGCCAATTATCTCAAGAGGCCGAAAAAGGGAAACAAGGATTAATTACAAACGCCTGTTACCCCCCAAAAAATAAAAAACTTACTCGTATGACATAAAATTAATTTCCCTCTTAATTAAATTTATCCATCATTTTGTAGATATTTATTACGAGAGGTAATTTGACACGCGGAGAAGTAACAGTGATCACTACAAAGTGTACGGATTAAAGATAAATCGGTGACACGTGGGAGATGATCGGGCCATTTGATTAGGAAGTTTACAAAAATAGAAAAAAGAGTGGTAGACAGGGGACATGTGGCAGTTGAGTAACCGCCGGATTTCAATGAAACTTGATGGCGGCGAACTGTAGTAACCAACTTGCATCGTCCTCGATTTTCGAGGTCGGCCTAATTTTTATTTTTGTAAATTTAGGGTTTGCGCTTTTAGTGTATGTTAGTGATGAATGATTAAGTTTACTAATGTGAACTACTATTACATGACGGTATTTGAATACGATAACACTTTATATGTTTAAAAGACTACTGATCTTAGTAAAGGGATAGCCTTTCAAAAAAACACACGTATGTGTTCTACATTGATAAAAGATGAGAGTATTTGAGTACAATAACACTTTATAAGTTTAAGAGACTACTGATCTTGTTGTTGTATGGTGTTGAAAGTAAACCTTTTTTTACTTGTGGAGTGAACTCTTACTCTTAATAATGCAGACACGTTTACACCTATATGTTTCAATGTTTCACATGTAATGAAAAATTATATGCTAGCTTATTGTAGTTTAATTATCTTCATCAATGTAATCATACTGATTAGGTCCAATTAGATATAGCTATTAAGTAAAATCAGGACTGGTCGATGCCCTACATCTAATAAATTCAATTCAAACAAGTTCAAGTAAAGCAAACTAACCTTTGTATAATACTCCATATATTTTATCTTAAGTTTAGATAGAGTCATTATTGTGAGATCTAAAATGCATATAAATTATTGGTTTAAATCATGCAAGTGTGCAACTTTTAGGTAGAGAATGAATTCTTTTTCATGATCGACATCAACCCCTTTTGTTCTTTTTATTTATTTAACCCTTACAATTGACTAATGGAGTGCACTATTGAAGAACATCCAAGCTTAAGGCTGTAGTTCTTAAATTGATGATGACTGATGATAGACAGGCACTAATAACTTAGGACCCCTCCAATTTTTTGGACTAATTTGGCTGGATTTTATTAATTTTTGTAT